GTCAAGTCAAATAATGACAGCTCTCTGAGAACGAGGCTTCGAAGGAGCTCCAACCCTGTTCTGCTCTTTCCAGTAACTGCCAGGCTGTTGGTTTTCAAAGCGACAGTGGAGCTGGAGAAGGTGCAAGAGTGGGGGAAGGGGAGATGAGAATAGAATAGGGCAAGTTAAAAACATCACAAAGCCTGCTGTACTTAAGATTTTCATTTTTTGTTTTTAATCGGTTTAAATTTTTTTTTTTTTTTTTTTTGGTGAGGAAGTGGCCCTGAGTTGGCGTCTCTGCCTCTATTCCTCTATTTTTGGTATGTGGGTCTCCACCACAGCATGGCTTGATGAGTGGTGAAGGTCCGCTCCTGGGGTCCAAACCTGTGAACCGCAGGCTGCCAAAGCAGAGTGAATGAACTCAACCACTACACCACCGGGCCAGCCCCTAATTTGTTTTACATAAATGCTCCCTGGATTACTGTAAGCCTTTGGTTAATTTCCAGAGTTGTGAAAAAAGTTGATGCTGACTATATTTTTGCCAGTTTTCTCATTACTTTTATGGAGGAGAGAATTTTTGGAGGTCCTTGCTCCTCCATTTTCTCTGACATCACTCTCTATTGCTTTTTAAAATTTTATTGAGGACATATTGGCTTATAACATTGTGTAATTTCAGGTGTACATTATTGTATTTCAGTTTCTGTACAGACTCCATCATGTTCACCACCAATAGTCTCGTTTTTATCCATCACCATACATACGTGCCCCTTTACCCCTTTCACTCTCCCCCACTCCCTCCTCCCCTGGTAACCACTAAGCTGTTCTCCTTATCTATGTGTTTGTTTATCTTCCACATATGAGTGAAATCATATGGTCCTTGTCATTCTCTGTCTGACTTGTTTCACTTAGCATAATATCATAAAAGTCCATCTACCTTATCACAAATGACACAACTTTGTCTTTTTTTAATGGCTGAGTAGTATTCCATTGTATATATATGCCACATCTTCTTTATCCATTCATCCACTGATGGACACTTGGGTTGCTTCCATATCTTGGCTGTTGTGAATAATGCTGCAGTGAACATAGGGATGCATAAATCTTTTTTTTTTTCTTTGGTGAGGAAGATCAGCTCTGAGCTAACATCCGTGCTAATCCTCCTATTTTTGCTGAGGAAGACTGGCTCTGAGCTAACACCTATTGCCAATCCTCCTTCTTTTTTTTTCCTCCCCCAAAGCCCCAGTAGATAGTTGTATGTCATAGTTGCACATCCTTCTAGTTGCTGTATGTGGGACGTGGCCTCAGCATGGCCAGAGAAGCAGTGCGTCGGTGTGCGCCCGGGATCCGAACCCAGGCTGCCAGCAGAGGAGTGCATGCACTTAACCGCTAAGCCATGGGGCCGGCCCTCCATAAATTTTTTGAATTGTTGATTTCATGTTCTTTGAATAAATACCCCGTAGTGGGATAGCTGGATCAAATGGTATTTCTATTTTTAATTTTTTGAGAACTCTCCATAGTGTTTTCAACAGTGGCTGTACTTTATTGCTTTTTATGACACATTGAGAGTTTATCTGAGGTTTATGTAACACCTCTCATCACACAACACACACAGTAAAAAGGAAATGAGAGATAGAAGTACTTATTCTAGAACAGCACACTGCCAGGTGAAGTTAAGGGAATGTGGACAGTGCATCTCCAACTCTCTGTGGTGAAGGACCAGTTTTTTGCTTTTTTGTTTGTTTCTTAATCTAATTCATCATAGTATGTGGTCCTACTTCCTGTGACTAGTTCACATACAACTTGCCATGCAAGTTCAACAATCTGAGCTGGTCTGTACCCTGTTCAACAAGATTGTCCACTAATCACACTCCTGGAAGTCCAGGCAATGTCAGATAGCTGTAAGAGTTTCTAAACGCTCTCAGTTTCTTTACTTGTCTTGTCACCAACTGGTAACAAAGTTTGCAAACCAGCAAACTTTGAATAGCTCTTTACTGGGAAACAATCTTGAATAAATTAGTGAGTGCCCTCCATGATCACATTTTAAAGTATTTCTGTATTGGTTTTCCCTTAAATTCAAGCATCATGTAAATATGTAATGTAGAAAATGAAGAAGATTCCTCATATTCCCACAGACACACAGAGATGAGCACTGTTAATATGTTTGTTACAAATACGCTACCAGGGCCAGCCCCATGGCTTAGTGGTTAAGTGTGCACGCTCTGCTGCTGGCAGCCCGGGTTCAGATCCCGGGCGCGCACTGACGCACCGCTTCTCCAGCCATGCTGAGGCCGC